GCAAGAGTGAAGGAGATCGCCGCATCCGTTGGTCTTGAGCGAATTGCCAAAAGGAAAGAGGTAGTTTACTGTTCTTATCTTAGACCTACTAGATCACTGTTACGTTTTACAAAAAAATAAGCTGTAGCTGGGTATCAGGTTTTTCATATCTTGGAAGAATATGTCTTTTTGCAGAGCATGGGCATATGCTTTATTGGAAAGCGGAACTTCTGCGATTTCATTGATAAGGTAGTTTGCAGTTGACGTCAATTTTTCACAGTATGTAGAACCACAAAGAGGTCTGATTATAGAGCTTGAAACTGGTATTGTTTTTGGTGAGCACTCAGGTAAGCGTGCTATCTTTCGAAAAGTATTCCCTCACAAAGGTGTACATCACTTTACTATAGGTCAGAAAGTACCCATTATAACGTGCGGCAAGAAACCCTTTTATATTGCAAAAATGGATTCCAAGACTCAGGAAATTTTTGTTGTAAGTTAAGCGAAATTCGCTAATGCTATGCCAGGTGCAAGGTGCCTACCATTCGTCACTCTTTATGCAAGAATTTTGGACTGAGCGACCTTTTTGGATAGCGGAAGAAAGTCCCCCTATTCCATCCACTGAATATGAGTTTCAATGGCAGAACAGGTGGCGTGCGATTCCATGTTCCATGGAAAGTCCCAAAAATTCCGAGTCAGGGTTGTTCATTCGACTTAATCAGCCAATGCGATGTATAGCAGTGGGTCAATGTGCAGCCTTTTACAAAGGTGATATCTGCTTGGGTGGAGCCATGGTAAAATCAAGTAAAAGTTTGTTTGAAATGGGAAAAACTGAACCGTACTATGGTTGGCATTTGTCGGATTTCGAAATCAATGCTTAGCCATACTGTTAAAGTTGCTGACGAAATAGCTGGTGTGTGATTGATTTATTGTTCGAAATACAGTTTGTATTTACATTTGCGGTTGCATTCGGGTTTGTTGATGAATTCGAACAGAGGAGGAGGGTGCGTATAAAGGTCTGTAAATTCTGCTTCCCAAGGTGTAGCCCTTAATTGGATAGAAGAATTGGTTAGTAGGAGGGAAGTCCGCGACTGTTGGCACCGAGAATTTGCTGACGGAGAAGTCCCGTTCAAGGCCAGGGATCCTACCTGGGCGATTGAGGTAGCAAAAGATGAAGAGTCCAAACATGAAAACTGGGGTGCCGGCAATCGCAACGAGAATGCCAGCAACCCAGACATCCTCGCGCTCGCGCGCGATGCCTAACGTAATCATAAAAATGCTTGCAAGAATAAGTAAGGCTCCGACTATGATCAGTGGATTGTGTATTTTTGTACGTTCATAGAAGTCGATGTAGCACATTCCACTGAAAGCTTAGCTTGTTTACAACATTGGAAGAAACAAGCGTCAAGGTCGTTTGAGGAAGAGCATTTGGGTATACATGGGCAATTATGCATCGTATTTCTTGATTAGACAAGGCACCAGCTTGACATAAGTGCCTGGTATTTCTAGAAAGACTATTGTATATAGTCTTGTGTTTTAGAGTAGTGACTGCGAAATAAATACGTTTGGAAAAGTTCATGTGTATTTAATCAAAGGTCTTGGTGAATGCCTGCTTCTAACATAACGCTAAACATTAAACCTGGCAAGCCTTCTTTATATGAATAAATCTAGCCTTTAAGAGAGTGGCACTTTTACTTTCGATAATTCCGTTTGCGGCTAAGTATTAAGATTAAAATATTGCTTTAGAAATACCTTACCTGCCACTGTTTGGCTGATTTAATACCAGTATTTTTACAATCATGCAATATTTGTGGGATTACTTCTATCTGGTTCAGTTCGTTGCTTAATCGCAACAAATTTTAAGGGCTGTGCGTGATTGCGTCGCATTTTGGGCTCCTGTTTTGAAAGCCCCTTTGCTGATTGATTCATGCGAGTGGCTTGGCTTACTTCGAAGTACGCTATTTTACTTCTTCGTGTTATGAGTTTCATCCTCTAAAGCCACCTTTAATG